CGCCATGTCCACAGGACGTACCATTCGCCCGCCCGCCCCGTCCCGTCGCCGTTCCTTCGGTCCCCACAGATAATTCCCCAAGTTTCGTTCGTTCCACTACAACAGAAGTTATAAAACGGCTGGCTGTCGTGCGGAGCGCTGCTGCCCCGGTGCCCCTGCGCGCGGCGCGGGGGTGGCGCTGGTGCCGTGGAGCCGTTCTGCACCGTTACGGCCCGTTTCGGCGAGGGCTCTGTCTCCCCCTCCCCCTCTCTCTCACCTCTCTCCATTCCTCTCCATTCTTTTCTCATTTTAGAGAGGCGTGGGTGCGGCGGGCCCGCTGCCGGCTCATTTGAGTCCCCTCTCCCCATGTACAAAGTCTGCTACCGGGCGAGAAATTCGAGGACACCCGGTTGGTATATGATCGCTGCGTCGGCCACCATTTATAGCTGGACGGGTCTGGGACATGCCCCGCGCTGCCTGGACCTGGGCAACCCCCCGGCACCTCCAGGGTGCGCCGGGCCCGTCTCCACTCGACTGGAACGCTGCGTGGACTCCTCCTGGAACGGATTCGTCCGATTTGGAAGAACAAAGGCGGTGGCTTTCGGACCGGCGTGGTCGAGGAGAGGCAAGGGGAGGGGGGAGGGGGAGAGACTGCCGGAGGAATCTCAATTCATATCACCGCCCGCCCCCTCCGGCCAGCCGCGCCGCGCCCGCCCCCAGCCTCTCCTCCGGCCCAAATGAATGATATTGCCGGCAACTCATTAATACTTGCACCTGAAAACTCTGCGGCGGGGGCGGGCGGACGACGACTCGCGGCCCCCGCCTCGGCCGCCCTCGCGCGGGCCGAGCCCCGGGCAGGCCCGGGCCCACCCGCAAAGTTCCGTACTTTGAGGGGCCACCACCCTCCCGGTCGGGCGGGCTGGGACTAGCAGAGTCCTGGACGCCCCCCCCCCGGGAACATAATGTTTGCACATTTGTCCTACGCGACGAGGGACTTGATCGGCCCGGCTGGGCAGCCCGGCCCTCCCTTTACCCCTCCATCCTGTCCGTTGGATCACGAGCGCCTAGTCAGGCTGTAGATCACACCCGATCACTGGGCGGCACCTCTCACCATCCCCTGCTCCAACGCACGAGGTGTCGCGCCGCCCGCACCATCTCCCTCCCCATCTCCCGCGTCCTCACCGCACACTACCCTCCTCTCCTGTCTCTCTCTCTCTCTCCCTCTCTCTCTCTCGCACACACTCTTTCTATCCCTCTCCCCCCTGTCCCTCTCCGGCCCCGGGCTCCGGCTGCACTCCGCGGCCGCTGGAAGGGTCGGCTGGAGGATGGCTGGACCAGGACTGATGGTCGGAGGAAGCAGAGTTTACTGCGGGGAAGGGTTCCCTCGGAGTGAATCTTCTGCAGCTGGACAGCTGGCGTGCGCTGCCACCACTGCTCTCCCCCGCTCACTCTCTCCCCATCCCCCCCCCTCTCTCTCTGGCATGAATCTCGGCCTCGGATACACACGAAGGGTTTCTTTTTTTCCACACCCCATGGCCGGCGTAGCTATACATGATCAGGGGGAAATGGGCGCGCGGGGCGCGAGGCGAGCGGGGTCCTGGTCCTGGCACCGCTGCTAATGGCTGCAATAGTTTCGCCCGCGCGCCCCTGCTGCCCACACCCGCGGCTGGACCGCAGAGACGCTTCTCGAACGCGCCCTGCCGCACACACACGCACACACACTAGCGGTAGGGCTCGCGCGGGGCCCGCAAATGACCAGCAATGACCACGAGAATGACCACACACCGCCAATGACTACGGGGGGTGAGGGGGACGGGGGAGGGAGCCGAAGGTTGGTCGCTAATCGGCCAAGTCCACTGGTCGCCTGCCAGCGCGTGTGTGTATGCGTGTGGGCGTGAACTCGTGGGGTCGTCGTCGTGTGTGTGTCTATGAACCGGGTGATTCAGAGAAGACGCAGGTGCGAGCGGGTTTGCCTATCCTCGACTCGGCGGGCGCACGGGTCTGGGGAGAGGTGAGGAGGGGACCCGCACGCAGAAAAAAAAAAATCGTGGCTCTGCTAAGTTTTTAGCACACTGGCTAAAAATTAACTGAATGGACTGGGCTAATTTATTTAGCAACAGGGCTAATTTTTTAGCCATACAGGGTGGTCCACAGACCCCTTCCTTTATTTTGCTTATACTGTACCGCATGCAGGCTTGCGGACGGGCTTGCCTACCGTCGCTCCCCACGGCGCCTTATGGCCCCGTGCGAGTATGCAACCCGGCCATCCGGTACAGTATAAGCAAAATAAAGGAAGGGGTCTATGGACCACCCTGTATAGTAAACCACAACGATTATTAACCGTGTAGCTAATGTCACTTATCTCTACAGCTAAATATTTTTACACCCGGCTAATTTTTTGGCACGGGTGTAAATTGTGCAGTTAAACCGATTTGCACGGAACTGAATTTTATTTTTCTGCGTGCGTGCGCCCGCCCGCCACGCTGTATATAGAGCGTGCAATGCACACTGATGGGTTTTTAGTGCATGGCCGACATGCCGACAAACACCACGGACTGCAACCGCTGCTTTAGATGCGTTGGTTTATGTTTGTGAATTTCAATCTTCTTTTGTGTGAAGTTGCGGAAGGGCGCGAATGCGACCCGAGGAAGTGCACGGTAGGCTCAAGTGGGTAATGAAGTAAAAGAGTATCAGTGCGATGGTTATTCACCATTCAATGAACAAGACCAAGAACAAACACAAAATAGGAAACAACGAAAACCAAGCAAGTGTAGAAATGGATCACACATGAATCCATGAATCCGCACACGGGTCGTCAGTGTGATACTCCAGGGAGGGACACTTGTCCGGCTGATGCGAGTAGAGGCCTAAACACTTCCTCACGCCCCACTTGATTTCTCGATGGCAGCCCGTCACGCATGCCTCACAATCCTGAGGAACGCACTTGTCTCTATTGGTGTACCAGAGCAGGATGTGAAGCGAGGGGTTCTCCGCGAGCGTCGCCTTGACCGCGGCCCCGTGTATCCAGGCGTGGGGGCACCTCTGCGTCACTTCACCAATCTCCAGCAGCCTCAGCGCCGGGGCCGTGGCGGGGGTGATGCTCTCCAGCAGCTCGTCGTTGGGCTCCTCAGCAGAATCAGCATACAGGTCCAGGTGGCGCAAGGCGGGCAGCGAGGGCAGCGCGCGGAGCAGCGGTCGCACGTCGTCGAACTCTTCAAGGAGAAGCTCCTCCAGGTGGAACCGCCCAGCCGAGGCCAGGGCTTCTACCAACACCGCGCTGACCGAGCAGTACTCGGAGCTCCTGCCGTTCTCCAGGTGGACACTTCGCAGTTGCTTGGCTCGGCGGAGTAACTTGGCAACCGTCTCGACTTTACCGTACACGTCTCCGTGTATCATAATGTGGACGCGTGTTAGCGTCTTGCACTCTGCCACGTCCTGTAATCCCCACAGCCTGTCGCTGCACCGCAAACTGCGCAGTCGCGGCATTGCGCCCAACAAGTTAGCCGTCCTCGTCCTCGTCTCCTCGGAGGTGTATACGTCGAGGAGGTCAACCTTCTCCAGGGTAGCCGCGTGCCCGGCCAGAATGGTGTCCACGAAGCTTATAGAGTGGCTGTTGAGTGGGCATCGGAAATTCGTCAGCGAGGGCCTCGGCGGCCCGAGCACAACGGGGTGGGTGACATCGGGCAGCCAGCCTACGACGTCGATCGACTCCAGGAAGGAACACGACGCGACCGTCCTCACTAGCGCGTCAGCATGACGTAGCCCTATAGAGGTCGTTTCCAGCTCAAGTCTCCTGAGGCGCCCGAGGGACTCCTGGTTGCGCACGGCCAAGGCGTACTCCGGGGCGTCAAGGGCGGCGCCGCCATGCAGTTTCAAGCCTGCCACGGCGCACCTGGTCGAGGTCACCGCCAGGGTGGGGACTCGGCCCGTGACTGTCAGCTTGTCGAGGCACGGGGCCAGGTGCAGCACTGCGCCCGCGTGGGGGTTGTCGTCCTCCAGTGATCGGTGGCGCCAGACATCCCAGTGCAGGGCGAGGATGCAGAGTCTCTTGCACGCGAGGCGGCAGTCGAGGACGTCCTTCACCGGCAGGTACTGCAGCACCACCACGATCACGTCGTCCGGGAGCTGCTCCAGGGTCAGCATTGACGTTGCCATCGAGCCTCGAGAGACGCAAACTGCGTGGTAATGCAGAACTTGAAACCACACGAAACAATTGCTGTTGCATGCACTGACCTGACGACTGGCTTACCTTGGCCGTAAATGTAAGATGAGTTGATGACCCGCCTCGTGCGTGACTAGCACCAAACTTAATTGGAGGCCGGGGCACACTGCGACTGCGAACAACGAGTGACGCACCCTGCACAGACAATGGCCATCGAGGCGTCAGAACACGAACCACGGCAGGGCTTAAGAAATGGACAGTCCTCTCGATCAGGCCACAAAGCTCCTGACTGAATGTTGAGCAATGGGCGTGAGGATAAACGATAAGTTATTTCAGAGAAATGGAAAAGAAGAAAAGCACGAATAACAAGGCTGCCTGTGATTCGTCGCTCAGTTGGAAGGGGAAACGGGGCGACGAATCACGGGCTATCTTGTTATTCGTGCTGTCCTTCTTTCCCATTTCTCTGAAATTAGCTTATACGAGAGAGATCACGGTTCACCCAGCGGCTGCCCTGTCACCTAACCTAATCACCTAACCTAAGCCGGGCTGCAACCAACTGCCACCCCGTCACTCATCTGCTTCGCGTTCCGAGACCGTCTTCTTGTTGACTAGCCTACCTTCGGTTTAGAGTGGAGAAGTAGATTGTGATGATCAGATCAGAGCCAAGGAAATCACGATCACCACTAGATTGCGTAACAACACCAGAGGGTGAGACGGCACAGGACCGGCGGCTGGTGTAGTGCGCAAGGCGGATCCCCTGACTCTTTTCCCCCCACCAAGCAGCAAGCGAGGCGCCGCCGTGTCACCGTACTCCGAAACAGCGCTTTACGGAAACGCGCGGACCATCGGACCAACCAAGTTTTTAGAAGGTCCCAAGTCCCCAAGAATATCTGTAACACCAAACAAAATCCGGTGTATATA